TGTAAGTCAGTCAGGGACTCTTGTTCATTGCTTTTAGTACTTTATGGAAGACTTTATGTATCCGTTTCACTGGAGAATGATGTTAAGGTTCTCAACATGTTTCCTTTTGCTCCACCTGAGTTGAAAGAATCTGGTTAAACCTGATTTGTTCGTTTTGTAAGGAACACACTGTAGTTGCAGTGGTGATAGGATTTGCCACCAGTTTGCACTGCTGTCTCAAGATAATGGATGGCTAGAGAAAGAGAACATCTAAGGTGTTTTGACAGCTTTTAGATTAGCATATATGAATGTGATGCTCAACAAGAATAGCCCTACTTGTACTGTTAACACTTCAGTGACAGACGATTCGTTGATTTGCAGATAAGGGCTTGACGTCAGGCATTGTATGTATGATATCAACCTGTTTATAATATTTCTTAACATGAAATAGCAACTACAACCATGGGTTTTCATTACTAGTTTTGAGCTTTTGTGGGAAGAAAGTTTCCACCATGGGTGGGCCTACATCTGTCTTACTCAAGTAAGAATGTCTTCAGTGAATATGTTATCAAAAGTATTAACCACTGATCAGTTTAATTTAGAAATATCCTTATTTTGAAATAGAGCCCTACATTATGGCAAATTCAATAAATATTTTGTATCAATCAATTTGACCTGAAAGATAAAAGAAATACAAAACAAAAGTAACAGATCTGAGCCTCAGGTGCTGAGATGTAGGCTACGTATTTCCTCCTGTTGAGGACTTTTCATTCAAGTGTGGCTGCTTTTTTATGTTTTTTTAAAATTTTATTTCACCTTTATTTAACCAGGTAAGCCAGTTGAGAACAGGTTCTCATTTACAACTGCGACCTGGCCAAGATAAAGCAAAGCAGTGCAATAAAAACAACACAGAGTTACATATGGGGTAAAAAACATAAAGTCAAAAATACAACAGAAAATATATATACAGTGTGTGCAAATGTAGCAAGTTATGGAGGTAAGGCAATAAATAGGCTATAGTGCAAAATAATTACAATAGTATTAACACTGGAATGCTAGATGTGCAAGAGATTATGTGCAAATGTCATTTGCCTTGTGGCCTTTTATGTGCAAGATGACATGTAAATTAAATTCTACAACGTCATGCACTCCTCCCTAATTCCTATATTTACTATTCAGTCATTGGCAGTTCAGCCATAGCCAAGCTCGTATGATATGAGTGCCTGATCAAGCAAGCCTATTAGATCTAAATGCTTACATTGCTAGGAGGCAAAATAGCAGCCTGGTCTCAAAGACATAGTAAAGGTATATCCGAGACACTCAAATTAGTATGATATGTAATGTAAGGTATGGTAACATTAGACAGATGGTTACATAAGACAAAAACAAAAGTAGGGTGGATGGATGGGTGGGCGTATAACGCAAACGTCTAGTAACCCAAAGGTTGTGAGTGCGAATCTCATCTTGGTCAACTTTAGCATTTTAGCTAAATAGCACATTTTCAACTACTTAATACTTTTACCTACTTTGCAACTACTTAGCATGTTGCCTAACCCTTCCCCTAACCTTAACCCTTTTAGCTAACCCTTCCCCTAACCATAACCCTTTCCCTAACCATAACCCTAACCCCTAGCCTAGCTAATGTTAGCCAGCTAGATGACATTAGCCACCTAGCAAAAATTGATAATATATCATACGTTTTGCAAATTCGTAACATATAATACGAATTGTAAATCGTAACATATCATACGAAATGGGTGATGGGCATCCACAAATGAATACATACCATACGAAACATAATTTATGCTACTAAATTAGTGTCAAGGATTTAAATCCAGAATAATACGAAATGCTCTGAGACCAGGTTGAAAGTAGAGGTAAATTCCTACCAGATAGTCTTGTCTTGTGGACCTGTTTGTAAAATGTAGGTGGACACACAACTCAGAAGCTATATCTTTGATACTGCTTGGGACCCATTTGCCTGCATACTTATAACCTATGTAATAAAATAGAAAGGTGACATAAGGTATAGGTTTGTAACAACATATTAGGAGAAGTTGCAGCCAGACGTTTGTTTGTTTTTTGTTGTAGTCTGTATACAACAATGGGGTGCTAATCCTACATTGTCGCTTTAACTTTATCCCACTCACGGGGAGGGGTGGAATTGAGAGAGAGCTCTCAGCCGAATTGAGGTGGAACGTACGTACATACATATATACATACATATATACAGTGCATTCGGAAAGTATTCAGACCCCTTGACTTTTTCCACATTTTGTTAGGTTACAGCCTTATTCTAAACTTGATTCAGTTGTTTTTTCCCCTCATCAACACACAATACTATCACGGTTTTGGCCGAGGCTGCTCCTTCTCCTTGTTCGGGCAGGCTTCGGCGGTCGTCGTCTCCGGAGTACTAGCTGCCACCGTTCGTTGTTTCTGTGTTTGTTTGGTTTGGTCTGTTTTGGCACACCTGTTTCTCATTTTGTCTTGATTATGTGTCCTTTAAGTTCTCGTTGTTTCTGTCTTGTGGTTGTGTGTAGTTGTTCCTTGTCAGCTGGTGCTTCCAGTTAGTTAGTGCTCTATTTTGTATTGGATAGAGAGTCCGCACTTGTTGTGCGTGTTCGCTGTGTTTTGCACTTATACGCTGTGTGCGTTATTGTTCTCGTGCCTCCGGCTCTGTTTGTAGCCGTTCTTTTGTGGACTTTACTAAAGTATTTTTGGACTAGCATCTGTGTCCTGCATCTGATTCCTACACCACACCTACGCCCGCTCTGACAAATACCCCATAATGACGAAGCAAAAACAGGTTTTCAGAATTTTTTGCGAATGTATTACAAATAAAAAGCTGATATCACATTTAAATAAGTATTCAGACCCTTTACTCAGTACTTTGTTGAAGCACCTTTGGCAGTGATTACAGTCTCGAGTCTTCTTGGGTATGACGTGACAAGCTTGGTACACCTGTATTTGGGGAGTTTCTCCCATTCTTCTCTGCAGATCCTCTCAAGCTCTGTCAGGTTGGATGGGGAGCGTTGCTGCACAGCTATTTTCACATCTCTCCAGAGATGTTCGATCGGGATCAAGTCCGGGCTCTGGCTGGGCCACTCAAGGACATTCAGAGACTTGTCCCAAAGCCACTCCTGCATTGTCTTGGGTGTATGCTTAGGGTCGTTGTCCTGTTGGAAGGTGAACCTTAGCCCCAGTCTGAGGTCCTGAGCTCTCTGGAGCAGGTTTTCATCAAGGATCTCTCTGTATTTTTTACAGTTTAGTACCATGGGAACACTGACTAAGCCGACTTGAGTTTGCCATTTCCTGTTCAAAGTCTGTTTGAGATGCACTATTCTGGGTGGATTGTTAAATATAGTTTTGGGGAATGTTGGGCGTTACACTGTAAATCTATGAGACATAGATGAGACTACTGTACTTCAACTATGGGTAATACCACATTTGTTTCACGACAGGAGAAGAACTGCCTCATCCAAAAATTCACTGGGAATATTCACTAAGGCTTCCCTCAACTTTTACCCAAACTGGAAATATACCGGTGGTAGTTAGAGCCCTGAGTTTTTCCTAGTCGAGTCACAAGGTCAGGAAAACTCAAAGGTTATCTTTGATAAGATTACCGCAACACTTTTCAGATCACAAGATAATCTTTGTAGAACGGTGAAGCACCGATCTGAACACAAACAATCAGAGGAAATGGGGAAATAGAGATAGTGATCTGAACCCAAAAGGGTCACAGTGCAGGAAGCAACAGAAGCGGCACACTGAATCCTGCCTGGTCATGTGAGCAGGCTGTGTGGGTCATGGCGTAGTAAGCAAACACCAGGTGACAGACCTGAAGGATCATTTCACAGAGGAAGACTGCGTTAGTTTTACTGCTGTCCTGATGACTGCTCTAAAACCACTGTGCTGTAAACCTGCAGCCAGGTTTCCTCCAGACGTGACACTTGGCATTCAGGCCAAAGAGTTCAATCTTGGTTTCATCAGACCAGAGAATCTTGTTTCTCATGGTCTGAAAGTCTTTAGGTGCCTTTTGGCAAACACCAAGTGGGCTGTCATGTGCCTTTTACTGAGGAGTGGCTTCGGTCTGGCCACTCTACCATAAAGGCCTAATTGGTGGAGTGCTGCAGAGATGGTTGTCCTTCTGGAAGGTTTTCCTATCTCCACAGAGGAACTCTAGAGCTCTGTCAGAGTGACCACCGGGTTCTTTGTCACCTCCCTGACCAAGACCCTTCTCCCCTGATTGTTCAGTTTGGCCAGGCTCTAGGAAGAGTCTTGGTGGTTCCAAACTTCTTCCATGTAAGAATGATGTAGGCCACTGTGTTCTTGAGAACCTTCAATGCTGCAGAAATGTTTTGATACCCTTCCCCAGATCTGTGCCTCGACACAATCCTGTCTCGGAGCTCTAAGGACAATTCCTTCGACCTCATGACTTGGTTTTTGCTCTGACATGCACTGTCAACTGTGGGACCTTAAATAGACAGTTGTGAGCCTTTCCAAATTACCACAGGTGGACTCCAATCAAGTTGTAGAAACATCTCAAGGATGGTCAATGGAAACAGGATTTTGAGTCTCATAGTGAAGGGTCTGAATACTTATGTAAATAAGGTATTTTTTTATATATTTTTTTATATACATTTGCAAACATTTCTTAAACTGTTTTCGCTTTGTCATTATGGGGTATTGTGTGTAGATTGCTAAGGATTTTTATTTATTTAATCCATTTTCGAATAAGGCTGTAATTTAACAAAATGTGTAAAAAGTCAAGGGGTCTGAATACTTTCCGAAGGCACTGTATGAAGGCTACCACAAAGAGACGCCGGTGATAGGTTTTAAATGTCATATCATGTGAGCGAGAGGTGGAGCCAGTTCACGTTGGATACCACCACCACGACTGCTAAATACAGGGGTGTATTCATTACACCGATTCTGTTGCAAAACGGAAAGAGGGCGGGACCTACCTGAATTTGTCCAATAGAAACTCTCGTTTTCGTTGCAAAACGCAACTGTTTGGACTAATGAAAACACCCTGGTGAGCAAGAGGTGGTGTACTTCTGAACAGACTATGAGACCAACAATACGAAAGCCCCCGCGGGAATAGCCTACAGTCGCTGTCATGATCGGCAACTAGAGAAGTCAAGTCCATTTCAGCGCAGGCCGTTTTCATAGAGAGACTACTTGTATTTTGTAGTTTTTAGATATTGCATTTGCTATATGCCTATAAGAGTACTGTAGTGCATGAGAGTACACCGCCATCTGTTACCTTAGTGCTGCACAGGCACAATGATGAGCTCCGACGCGCTCCGGCCGACACAGAACTCCGGGCGCAAAGCGCTTGGTAAGCTCGCCAACAGGTTAGAAGAAGTGAAGAACCCATGGCGACAAGGCTCGACGCTCGAACTCAGCCACAATGAGGCGGCCAGGTTGGCAACAGACGCTCTGCTGGAGTCTGGGGAGAAGGAATACAGACGAGTTCTGACAGAGGAAAGGGAATTAAACTTTCTCTCGCCGCTTGAGATTCATTATATTACCGAGAATGCAGCCAAGAACTGTAGCTCCGACAACAGCTCAAATGGCACTGAGGGGGACATTGGGGAGGGGGATACGGTGTCGGAGCTTACCTCGGGGACCTATTTCCCAATGATGTCCGACGAAGAGCCACCTATTCTGGAACTCGGATGGCCAGAAAACCCTCAAAGATACGGACCCTCAGAAACACAGATCTATTTCCAACGGGACAAGACTCACAACGTGAAAGACCTCATTCGGTCATTAATAAATAAAGGAAAAAGGGTAAGTCATTGAATTTGTATATTTATATTCATTTACCTCCATTTATTTAAAAGGAAATGGGGGGGCCATACAAGCCTTTAAAGTTTCGTTTTGGAACAAGGGGCCTCACCATACAGTAGCCCCTAGGCTATACTTTTCTTAGGGTCCTCAATGTTTCATACATTCATTTCAGCCTGTAATATGTCATGTGTGTGTGTCATATTCATTTGAAGAAAGGGTAGCCTAGTGCAATAGCAATACTTTTTACTACAGTGTGTACAGAGGCACACAGGCCTACAGCTCATGCCTAGTTTGCCTTGGCAAAAAGCCATGTAGGCTTGTGTTAGATAACACTTCCTATGAATACCCTCTATCAAATGCATTATAAGCGGATTTTTAATGCCTAATGAGCTCACTCTGCAATAATACCTAATGAGCTCACTCTGCATAATGCATTATAATGCACATCACAGGTGTCTTAGTCATCTATTACTACCTTCATAGAGCATTATGACCAACGCTATATAATGCCTTATAAAGCAAAGTGTTATAATGCCCTATATGTAAACCTCAATAAGAGAGCTTTATGTTGTGCTCATCAAGGGGTATATTCCTCTTTTTTCAATAGGTTAAAAGGGGGTATATTCCCATTCACCTGTACACCCTCTAATACACCTAGCTGTCTTGCACACTAAACATGATTGCAGAATCCCCGTTGACAAAATGTCCAAATGAGCATTTCATATAGGCATTATAAAACTTAGCTTAACACTTCGCCTGCTCATAATGATGTTTATGAGCAGCTACAAGCACCTTTGGTTGTGCATTATAGTTCATTATGCATTGCTCATAAGGCTTATAAATGTGCTTAGATTGCATTATGGAGAGGACATTCATAGGAAGTGTTACCAAATTATCTTAGCACCAATAGCACAATTTCACCAGGTCAAAATGTGCTACTTGGTGAATAAAGGTGATTCTGATTCAAAAATGGTATGATCGTTTTAATTATCGTTCATAACTGGCTGGTACAAATACAAAATACAGATATGATGAACAACAATTATTATAGGCCTATAGATACAATTACCAAATTGAAAATAACAGAATTGTACCCTGTTGTCAAAAAATTACATTTTTGAATTGATCAACCTTTCCCTGTGTGTGCAGGTCATAGCGTTGGTCATGGACCTCTTCACAGACGTTGATCTGCTCTGTGACTTGATGGAGGCCTCGAACAAACGCAAGGTCCCTGTGTACATTCTCCTGGATGAGAAGAATCTCAACTACTTTGTTGACATGTGTGCAGCACTGGACATCCAGAACTCTCACCTGGGTGTAAGTCATGGTGGAAGGATGGGATGTGGTGGGTGCATAGGTTGATGGATGGATGGATGGATGGATTGCTGAATAGGATGTACTGTGTATACTCTGTGTATTTCTCTCTCCCTCTTTTCTCCCCCTCTCTCTCTCCCTCTCTCTCTCTCTCTGTATTTCTGCTTCGTTCTTTCCCTCTTATTCTGTGTGCATGCATTCATTATACAATGTGCAGTGGTACACCTTTTCTGTGTGAAAACGGAAGATGGATTGATACCATTTATTACCTACAAACATTACATCATGATTGATTAGATATTGTTAATCTTATTGGTGTTATTATTTCCACAAAATCTGACATTTTCATTGCCTTTCCAGAACATGAGAATCCGCAGTGTGTGTGGAGATACGTACTGCACTAAAAGTGGGAAAAAATTCACCGGGCAGGTCCAGGAAAAGTTTATGATTATAGACTGTGAGGAAGTCATTGCTGGGTCATACAGGTAAGGATTGTACTCTTGTGTCTTGGGAAAATAAATACCAGTTATTTATCTATTCATTTACAGTAAATCTAAAGCATAATAAGCGGGAACTGAGAATTCCTATATTGCACGGTATGCTAAACGCTAGCCCTGCTCTGTACATTGTCTACCAACATTGGGTGACACTGAATTATCTAGGAAGGTGACTCAGGCAATAATTGTAATTTTAGTCATTAGGTAAACATCCCATTCCTAAGTGCTTTGTGCTCTCCCTCACTTGAGCCTTGGTACCTTGTACCGCCATCCAGAAGCCAATTGGTCAAACTCTTTGAAGAGTGGCTGAGACAGGTCCTCTAGGAGGAAGATCACCTTGTGCAGCAAGTGTTTGTCATGTCAGGCAAGGCTGGGTAGCTGTGATCCCATTAGATAGAGAGCAGACTTTGATGGTAGTCTGTAAGCAGTTTGTATTGATAAATGGTTTAATAAAGAAAACGTTATCACGGCGGCATCAGGGGGACATTTTCCACTATTTTATAGTTATAACAGCTAAATAACCACTGCATTTTACGTAGTTAGGCTCTATCTTTGATGCCGATTTAAATGTCTCCCAAAGTGCTTTTATTTTTGTAATTTTTTTTGGGGGGGGGGTAGATCAGCTTTAATATTGCCAATAGATTGTAGCTTCTATCAATGTAATTGTCTGCATCATTCCCAATCCCCCATATATATATAAAAAGATAGATATTTAAAAAATATTTTTATTTTCCTTTATTATTTTCCCCTAACCCTACCACCCCTCCCCTAATTGGAGTAAACAGTGTTTTTCTTGTAAGATTGATAGAAGTGGAAGCATTTGAAACAAGTAAATAATACTTAAGCAAGAACTGTAATTACAATTACATGCTCAATAGCAGGTAATGATATGAGCGGTTATAAAATTCATCCCAGTAAGTTAACAGTTGACCATTAACAATTGAAGAAGTGCATACATGCACTCATTCACTACATTGTATTGCTCATTGCTCTTGGCACTTAACCTTATGCAAAACATTCATACACCCTCCATTTTGAAAAGCAATGTGTTGGCAGTTTTGTCAACTGCCAACAGAATTAGCGTCAGTTGAACAAACGTGTTATTGAGAACCCTCAGGTGTTTTATGGACATGATGAAGACTAGAGGAATGTGTGTAGAAGTACAGATGATTGTGTACTTTGCTTCCTTGGCATTACACTTTTTATATGTCTCACTTCACTTTATGGGGATTATGCAGCTATGTATGTTTAGATTTTGTCTTCATGTTCAGACAAGAAGATAGAAGTGTCAGCTGTTTGCTCAGCTGATTATGTTTCATTACTGGGTAGGGAGCATGTAGGATGGGCTACAAGGGTTTAACTTGTGAGTGAGTGCGCAAACAATGAGGTTTGTACGCATGTGCCAAGCCCTCAGTCAATGCAAAAGCATTTACCTGTAGAGTTTACTGGGAATATATCTGTAGTTCCATTTAATGTTTATCTTGAAATTCAAACAAAACGCCTTATAATTGGAAGTGGTAGCTATTTTGACTTTCAAGCACATCCGTATGACAGGCTTTACAACAATGAAATCAGTAGTACTTCAAACATCTTTTATATGACACTGCAAAAACAATTGCTCACATACAGAGGAACACTGAGAAGCTTTGTACCCAAGTTGTTCTTCTGGTTCAGTATTCAAATTTAATTCAAAGTAAGCCTTTTCATATTTGTTTGGTCTTTTGAAAACATGCTTCCCCTAAAAAACTGTTGATAACACAGGTGTTATAATACAGTATTATAATATAGGCATAATGCATTATGATGTGGTCATAATGCATTATAAGTAGGGACCTCACGATAAGTTGCAAGGGACCTCACGATATGATATTATCACAATACTTAAGTGCCAATACGATATGTATTGCAATTCTCATGGTTCTCACGATTCTATATTTATTGCAATTGAATACTGCGATGTTATTGTGATTTGATGATTTGATGTTCTGCGGAGAGACGAGAGAGCATGAGAAAATGTGTTTTGATCAGTCATGGAAATAAAAGTGCTAAAAACATGTTTGCTCACTATTTAAAAAGAAGATTGAGAACAAGCTATAGGATGAAAAATACCAGAGTTTTGGCACAGGTACAGCCGACTAACGCTAGCTAACCCTACCTAGCAATACAGTTACATATATTTTTTATATTTGTCAAATCAATACTTGGAGTCAAAATATCAATATAATATTGCGATATGTAACTGTATCTATTTTCCCCCCATCACTAATTATAAGACTTGTCATAAGTATCTATGAACTACTTATAATGTATAAGTGTCATGTTAAAATGAATCAGTTTAATGTATTATAAATATACGCCCTAAGTAAAGTGTTACCAAACTGTCTCATATTGCTTGCTGCATGTCATCTAAAGCTGATAGAAAGATTATATGTTGGTTTCTCACCAGAATTAGTTACGATTTGCACAGGATGTACTTATATATTTTCCTGGAGGTTTGTAAATAGTGTGCAATCCATTTGTGAGTTTAAAAAGTTTTTATGCACTACAAGTAATTTGTTTTTAAGTAGAACATTACTGGGTAGGGATGTATTTACTGTATGGCATATTTAGCCCATTGTGTACTGTGTACATTTGTGTACATACTGTACAACTACTTGTTATTGAAGATGTCATTGTTTTCGATCATGTTCCCTTTCCTGTAGTTTCAGCTGGCTCTCGGCGCAGGTCCACAGCAACATGGTGATGCACTTCTCTGGGCAGATCACTGACAGCTTCGACCGAGAATTCCGCTGCCTGTATGCTGACTCTCAGATCATTGACTGTTTCCATAACCCCGATGAGGAGGGTCTCCCTTACTACCCCTACCCTGTTATGGCGCCCAACATGGGGCTAGACTTCTTCCCCAAGAGGTCACAGGATAGGGAGAGGGTTCTGAGTTCAGAGAATTCCAGCAGCCAATCCAGTAGCAGCATGTCCAGCGTCAAGGCAGCACCCAACATGACCAATACGGTTTACAAGGTCACTCAAGGTCAAGACAAGAAAGAGCCCAGCAACTCTCACCTGAGCCCTGAGAGGAGAGGAGGGGCACTAACTCCCACCCTTCATAATCAGACCGCCCAAGGCACGAGAGGCTCCCCCAATGGGACCAGTCACAGCCCAGTTACAGAGCGCCCTTCCTCTGGGATCGGCCAATCGGTCGGGATAGAGTGGTCCAAGTCCATCCCCACGGAGTTCCGCCAACCAAACGTTGGCGGAACCACGTCCAAGTTTCAGGCTCTAGGTTTGTACGACCCCATGTCGAGCCTCTTCAACAGTAGCCCCAAGACACAGTCTCCAGTGCCAGACAACAAACTCTCTGCCAAGCAGAGGACTCCCTCCAACCCCCTCCTCAACAAGCTCACCGACCTCTTCCTCCCCCCAACCAAGAAAGACCTCCTCCCCCCAACTGAGAAGGACACCTACATCTTCAAGAGGTCTCCTCCTCACAGCACAGGCTTCGGGGGGCCAGACCTCTCCCAGACAGAGCCGGAGAGCGAGCAGACTCCCCCGCCACCGCCCCCCATGATAAAACGGCAGGACCAGAAACGCATGACCTTAGGCCACAGCAAACTGGACCTGGTCAACCACTACAACAAGATGAAGTCCAAGCAGGTGTACAGCAGGTTTGAGGTAAAGAATAACAACTGAGGCTCTGTTGGGAAAGTATTTTACCTCCCATACCCCCATCGCACTGGATCTCCAGGAAGCAGAGCACACTTTTTAGGGCCGGCCCTGCATTGAATGGCTGTGTATTGTGTTCTTATTTTTGTGAGTGTCTTTCACTAGCCAGTATGGTTTTTACTGTATGAAATGAGTTGTAAATAGAGTTATGCTGTTTTGTAAGAAATGTGTTTTTACTTTTTACATATATCTATAAGTAACTTAATTAAGTTACAGTAATCTTTTAGATACTTTCAGATGATTTGGACATGAAAATGAAAAGGGGGACCTTACATCAAAATCTCATCATAGTGAGGATATTAATAGTGAGATGTGCAAAAGCATTTTCTTTCAATATTTGATTTATTTCATTAAAATAATATACCTTATTTGCTAAAAAATGTCAAAATAAAATGTATAAAATAGATTTTTTCATACAATCATCTTCAGGGGGCAAGTTACCCTATGGCCAGCTGTGGGGATGCAAGTTACCCCGATAGCTGGACAAAATGCCCCTTTTCTAAAAAATATATTTTGATTAAATAACAAAATAAAAATCAACTGTTTGTTTGCATGGCCATCATCCACATACCACATTTTTACCAAACTTTACTTTTTTGTGTCAGCAATTAGGCATTTTGCTTAAGGGGGCTAGTTGCACCAAAGTACCCTACATGTCCTAATAATTCAAAAGATTGTTCAGAAAAGCAGGGGTTTTAATCGGCATATGCTTATTTTGATTATGACCTTACTGCCATTAAGATAAGCAGAGTAAGGTGTTTACATGACTAATGCCATACTCGGCCTACTGCCATAATCATTTTAATATCTAATTATTTGTGTGCACGTAAACATACTGTGACTCACTGTGATCCTCCAAAACCAATAGACCTAATCCAAGACTATTTGATTTTAGTGCTTGGTATTTTACTTTGTAAATATCTAAGTTGAATGCTTAATTGAATTCAAGTGAACAGCAGCATTCTGACAGCAGCATTATCACACTCCTGTATAGTTACTTCCTGGTAATTTTGTCTTTGCATTGTCTGAAATTCCACTCTTAATTTTTTACATACGTAGTTGTTGTGTTGACTTGATGTTATTGTTAAGACTCAATGATTTAGCACATTGTACATTGTCCTGGTATAGGGCAGTTATGGGGGGGGGTCACACACTACAAGATTATTCACTTGGTCGTGAGGATTTTAGATACCACGTTGTCTTGTGAAAACAATGATGTCATTAGATTGTTAACGTAACTAGAACAAGCTGTGGCTCAAAGCAGCCTCATAAACTCATTTTCAGTCAGACATTCACGCTTGCCATACGGAGTTGAAATATCTAGCCAATACATTTTGAATTGAATAACATTTCTTGTGAACTTCAGAGCTGTAACGATTTGACACTTTACCTTTGGTTAAAGGGAAGTATAAATGCATACTAGTAGTAGCCATCACTCCTGCTCAAGAGTACACATTCTGGGTGATGCGATACAACGTCTTCATCTCACTGGCTTCTTCTCTGGCAAGCTCTCATTGGCTATTGCTGATCACTGTTCTCAAAACTTGTCGTTGCACATCTCACACTACAAGAGCATTGCAGATTTTGTGTGAATAAAATCAAACTGTTGAAAATATCGGGATGTCTGGGACGGCTCAAAGACGGGATCGGTATCAGTAGCCCTCAGACGGCCGCGCGCCCCGAGTAGGCAAGGACATAGGGATTTTGTCTCTGATCTCAAAAACGTGTCTGGGACAGCTAAATCGGGGCCCAAATCATGTAGTGTACGCCCAGCTTTAAAGGTGCAATATGCACCTTCTCCAGCCATTTCCTGTTTGCTAAAATTCTAATAGTTTGCCTAATTTCAGTTTATGTGACAAAACAAGTAATGCATAGTGTAGAGAATCATTGTACCATCTAAACCGCTGTGAAATATATTTTCCATAACCAAAAATATTGTATTTTCAGCAGTTTGAAGCTGGTGTACAAAACCGACAGTAAAATACGCAAAAAAATGAAACTTAAGAACGGGAAGCGTAGAAATAACGCACATAGAACAAATCTAACGCTTCTTAGACTTGCTTTCAATGAGAATGACAGATCTATAACTCACCTTTCTATGTGAATTTGGTTGGGTCACCCAAAAAGTTATATATTGAAGCTTAGAGGTGAGTTTGTAAATGAAATGGGTGAACTAGTGTTATAACTGTTACAATGGCTAAGATTAACTGATAACGGTGTTACAAAAAATAACCATTTGCAATAAAGATGTTTTTGATTGGGGTTCTAATCTTCAAATTCTGTGTATGCCACCAAAATATAAATACTGATGATGATGTAGGGTGACTCTAACCCCGAAGTGACTCTTATCAACTGTATGCAAGGATTCCTCTGTGTGGTCTTAGAAATGTTGCATTATCTCACCAACCCCCATTCGGTCCCACCTCTGGGTAGCAGAGGTTCTATTGTGATAACATCCTGTAGGTCTGACGTCTAAGTGAAAGTTAACTCAACAGTAATGCAATTGGTCAACCACTCAGATGCTTATAAAACAGTCTTAGATTCATTGTCTCTCTCTTCTTTGCTCCTGACCTGCGCTGGTGAGATACTCTCACTCCCTGGAGCCATGGCTTCTTTCTATCCATATCTGATCATGCCTAGAATAATGCCTTGCAATGCTTGTTAATGCTTTCTAACTTAACATTTACATTTACGTCATTTAGCAGACGCTCTTATCCAGAGCGAACTTAAGCGTAATGTAATCATTCATTTTACAATGTAATTCAATCTATTTGCCTTTGACAGACAATTCTTATCCCTTTCTTGATGGTTTATTCCTGTACATTTTTACATTTGAGTCATTTAACGACTGACAGTAGTGAGTGTTTACTTTTTTGTACTGGTCCCCCATGAGAATTGAACCAAAAACTCTGTTATTGCAAGCACCATGCTCTACCTACTGAGCCAAATGGGAGGACCTGTAACTCAACTATAGTCTCTTGCATATTGCTGAATCACCTTTATGGAGGCTTAACAGGCTTTGTTAACACACAAATTGCATAGTCTTATCACGGGTCACATGTGAGGTGTATATAATATATGCTTCGGCTATATGAAAAATATTACCCCACTACAATGACAGTGATGGTAATGACGATGACAGGATACTCTCAGTAAAACATTTATTGCTCACATATAAATTGTTTCCCAATTCTCTGCCCTTTTCTTAAAGTGTGCACTTGTACACTTCCCATCATGGATTTAACAATGTGTCACATAAAGATCCACAATGGCCCTGGAGTTGGATAGGGTACCCTCTGATGCACCATTGACATGAGCCAGAAATAGAATTTGACCAAGCCGTGTGCCCTGACATATAATTACATTTACATTTAAGTCATTTAGCAGACGCTCTTATCCAGAGCGACTTACAGGAGCAATTACAGTATACAGTATGTCCTTGTTACGCAGGAATTTGCTGGCTTGCATCCCTTTGGATAATTTTCAATGGCCACTACCGATTGACGAGCCGTCCAGGAGTTACCCCGTCACTACCAGTCAGGGGATTACTCTAGTTTTGGGGGGATGGGAAACCTTTGTCCTGGTTCAGTGGTCCTTTGTAGGGCAGAATGGGTAACTCTATCTCTACTGGTCATGTTTCAGACCTGACCATCGTTCTTTAAGGTTTCACAACGTCAATTAGATACAAGTGGACAACTGTGGCTGTTCTCTTAACCCTAAAAGCACCAACAGGTGTCAATTTTGACCCCAAGGAGTAAGAAAATTGAACTGAGTTGGTAGCCCATAGCGTTCCAAAGTTGGAGGCAAAAAAAAAATCTGATGGCACCGGTGCCCATATCTCCTAAATCGGCCATATCGGTGGCCATCTTAGGTCGTTCCGGTATGTCAGATTAGATCAATCGCCAATTTCTCAGCCTCTGAGTAACACAGAAACACAACACTTTGAATGAATAACAGAAAAATGTTCATAACAAGTGGCTATGGATGAAATTGATCAGAATATCTGTTCAAAACATCAAATTTGACTATAAATATGCTTATTTTGGGGAATTTTAACCATTTACTTGTGTTACAAAGGGTTAATAAAATAAAAAGTTATACTGTTTGACAGAAAGTGTATTTTTGCCATAATTTCAAATTTTTTGTAAGAAAAAGCTTTTAGAGGTTTTAATATGTTGCCGCTTTTAGGGTTAAGGATGCAGGCGGGGGACTTCCTGGATAGTTATTGTTCTATTTTCTCGTCTATGCACAGAAATCTGTTGAATTTTACTCCCCAGAACAGCCCTGGCCGTCCTAATCTGGATGTGGGTGTCTTTGTCTCAGCTGCATAGCCTTGAGCTAACAATGGCTTTTGTTTGTTCAATACACAGGGTTCAGTAGGCTGTGACTGTTTGAGGGAATGTGTTGAAGTTATTCACCAAGATTCTGTCGACAATGAGAGAGGAAGATACATCATTGTTGCGTGTGTTTTTTTAACGGAACATCTTACATTTACATTTTAGTCATTTAGCAGACGCTCTTATCCAGAGCGACTTACAGTTAGTGAGTGCATACATTATTTTTTTATTTTTCATACTGGCCCCCTGTGGGAATCGAACCCACAACCCTGGCGTTGCAAACACCATGCTCTACCAACTGAGCTACATCCCTGCCGGCCATTCCCTCCCCTACCCTGGACGACGCTGGGCCAATTGTGCGCCGCCCCATCTTGAAAGCAGCAATGAGCAATTACTAGCTGGCAATTCTCTGATAAAAATTCCTGACATTCGTCATACCTGCGGTTTAAGCCTAGTTTCAGTCAGCAGGCTTGTGGTGTCATTGTCTCCCAACTGTAGAGTGTGACAGAGCCACACAGCATGGGTTTGAGCAACACTATTCACACTCTGTACAAAACCAATTCTGTTCCGGGTATGTTCTATCAGGTTTTGTTTTGATAATCCATTTCTTCTCTCAATCTCCTCCCTTTCAAACTCTTAATCTGTGAGTGTCATTCACAAGACACGCACAGGAGGGTTCTTTTTTTTTGTTGCAGGTGGATCTAAAGTCTTACACCTCTAAGGTTTATAAGGCCTAAATGTTTCTAACTTTATATAGTCACCCATCTGTAATTCAAATTGCAAAGATACTGTGAGTCAAGAGTAAAACCATCAGGGGTTAGATGCGTCTTCTTTAGACCACCAACTAACAGTAAACAAAACAAAATATTTTATAACTTCTAATGTAGAGCTGTAAAATCAAGCTCAACCTGATATTTTAGAAGACTTGGGGAATGCAAGTGTAAGTGTATGGTTGAATGCTTTTATATCAGCATATGGCAGATGCATCATTGATTTGGCACATTTACACAGGAGAACGACAACACAATGCCCCACATACACGCTTCAAGTGGATGGTTTTAAGAGGAACTGAGACACATGATTTATATCGCTTTGTTAATATTGATCTGTGTCAGAGATAATAGAGCATGAATCACCCAAGTATTTTCACTTCCTGATCTGTAACTCTACTCATCAGAGAAGAGACACAGGGGGATGAGTCATAC